TGGTGGGTTGGTGGGTTGGGTGGGTGGGTTGGTTGGTTGGTTTTGCCTTCTTTGGGGCTATAACTGTAGCTCAGTTGTTAGTACTTATCTAGGATGCACAAAGCCCCGGGTTCCATTACAGCAGCACAGACAAACCATGTCTGGTGAAACACACCTGTAATCCCAGCTCAGTTTGTATTAGGGTTCTCTAGAGGAACAGAGCCAGTAGCATGAATGCAGAAGAGGGATTTATTAGATTGGTTTCCATGGTAGTCCAGTAGAGGCTGTACTACACTAGAGAGGCCGACCGAGGTGGAGTTCCTCTTTAGTCCTCATCGTGGGTTTTAAGTCAGCCAGTTGTTGGGTGAGGGTTTGAGTTTGGGTTTTGGCAGCTTGAGTCCCATGGCTGCTGGAGGAGGGTTCTCTTTCAGGACATACTGTGAATGTTCTGAATTGTTTCTGTGCATCTGCATACTGTTACCGTGGAGCTCACTCTTTTCCTCTGGTGCTTTATGCAAAGACACTAGACCCAGACAGCATTATTATTTTCTCTACTGTCCCACAAACATTCAAAGTTTTATTATTAGAATCACCAAATCCTTGTTCTTCTCAAGAGGTGAAGCAAGAAGTGGAAACAAGAGGATCAGAAGTTCAGAGTTATCTTCACCCACATGATTGGAGGGTAGCCTGGGTTACCTGAGACCTTGTCTCAGAAAAAGGAAAACATAAAAGCCCCATTCAGAACTTCTGTGGTGCACTTTCCTTGTGGTGTTTTGAGTCCCTCCCCAGATGGCCTCAGACTGGGTTCTCCCCCAGCCCTCTGGGTGCTGGGATTACAGGTGTGCAGCTGCAGTCAGCTTTTCCTCTCGTTTTGCAGAAAGAAATACCATGGAATATGATAGTGACATTGAAGAGTATGGCATGGTGACCTGTGTAGTAGATCTTTTTCATTCAGGCAGTTTGCTCTTTTGGTATTGCTTTTTTTGTTATTCTTAAGACCGGGTCTCTGTGTGGCCTTGGCTCCCCTGGAACTCACAGTTCTGACCTCCGACTCAGCAGTGGTCCTCCTGCCTCTGCCTCCCGGTGCTGGGGTGTACCGTGCCCGGCAACGCTTTTGGTCTTTCTACTACTAAAGGAATTGTATCCTGTTCTTCGTTACATCTCAGGATGTGAAAGAGATCATCTAGTTGCTAATCAGCTGTGTTCTGTCTCCTGTAGCCAAACCCAAAGTTAATGTGAAGCCGTCTGTGGTCAAGGTTGTTTCATCTCCCAAACTGGCTCCAAAACGCAAGGCAGTGGAGGTGCACCCGGCTGTCATTGCAGCAGTGAAGCCGCTCAGCGCCGGCGGTGTCCTGCAGGAAAGCCCCGCCAAGAAAGCGGCTGTGGTAAGAACTGACCCACGACAGTGGTGCTGGACTGGGGGAGGATTGCCTTTGGCTGTTGGTTTGTTTGTGTCTCACACTTCTGCCATCTCCTGAGCATTGGCTTCCTCAGACTGTGGCTCTAGTAACTAGAGTCTGGTTGGAGAGTTGAGAAGTGGCAGGCGGTATTTTGAAGCTGGGTTTTTGGGTGGCAAGGTATTTTGCTTACTTACATACTCAGCCTCTAGATCATTGGGTTCCTAGGATTAAAGAACGGTAGCCTCTGGGCTGAAGATACAGCTCAGTGCAAGATACTAGGTTACACCCCCCCACACCCACATACCCACATACCCGCTGCCGCCAAACCCAAAAACTAGCTGGGATTCTAAGAAGGCAACAGAAGAAAATATGCTCTTGGGGTGAAAAAAGGGCCTGACTCGAGGCTGAGCAGTGGGGAGGTAGAGGCTCTGAGTTTCAGGCCAGCTTGGTCTACCTTCAGAAGTCTGGTACAGCCAAAGCTACATAGTCAAGCCCTGTCTCAAAAAAAAAAAAAAATCTTGTAAAAGCCTTGAAGTCTGGGGGCATGGTTCAGTGGGTAAGAGTGCTTGCTATACAAGTATGAGCACCTGAGTTTGAATCCCTTAGCACCTACATAAAAAAGCCAGTGTGGCCATACACTTGCCTGTAACCCCGACGTTGGAGGCATAGAGACAGGTGTATCCCAAAAGATCACTGGCCAGCCAGCATAACTTGAAACCCTGAGCCTGAAGTTCAGTAACAGACTAACTTCCCACAGACGTGAAGGAGAAAGAATGGCAGACTCTTCCTGACCGCCTTCTCTGAACTAACTCTACATACTTGCACATGGGCCCTTGCACACACACACACACACACACACACACACACACACACACACACACACACACAGCATACAAACACCAGCGAGAGAAGCATAACTCTCACCTTCCTCTTCCTTTGTAGGCTGTGGTCCCCCTTCTCTCTGAGGATACATCCATCGCCATGTCTGAGACAGAAACACCTAAGGACAGGTAATATCTTCTTAACCTAATTCCAGGCCATTATTGATTTTCCTCTTTGTCAAAAAATGCAATAAGTCACTGAACATTTACAGGTTAGCTACCTCTAAAGCTAACTCCACACTGAGGGCAAAAAGCGTGAAAGTGGAGGTCGCTTCTCTTCAGCACTGCTGTTGATGTTTGCCCTTATTGTTGGAAGATACTTTAAATACCTGGCTAAGTTCAAAAGGTACTGGATTCCCAGTTAGTGAAACAGTAACAACTTGTCACTAGCTGTCCCCGAGGTCGCACAACCATGGTTAACTGTTTAAACAGTGTTGAACCATGGAGGAAGGGCACCGCTGGGCTAACAGTCTGCTTTCCCCTTACAGTTTTGCGCTGCCTTCAACCCAGTCCTCTTCAGAACCCTCGCTCCCAGAAGGATCTGGCCCTTCCTCATCCCAGGTGGCATCTAAACCTCGCCGACTGAGCTCTGCCTCAACAGGAAAGCCTCCACTCTCCGTGGAAGATGATTTTGAGAAACTAATATGGGAAATTTCAGGAGGCAAATTAGAAGCTGAGATTGACTTGGATCCTGGCAAAGATGAAGACGACCTTCTGCTTGAGCTCTCAGAGATGATTGACAGCTGAAGCTGATGGTGAGGACGCTTTAAAGAAAAAAAAAAAAAAACCCTCACCAAAACTGGACTTAGTTTCATCTATTCTAACATTTGCCTGAGGTGATCATTTCTTTAGTCTCAAATTTTGCCCAAATCAAAAGTATACCTCTGAAGTACCCGTGTGTGTCCTGGTTCCCCTGGGGTCAGATCTTTACATCCCTTGATGACTGTTTGTCCATTTGATGCCATTGTTTAGTATCTCTGAGAAGAAAGTTCTGTAATGCCCTTCTCTCCACCCAAGACTGAGCTCCCAATGAAATGGTGCGAGAGAACTCCGTGGCTCCTTGAGGCGTTTGTCAGTGTGGGCAAGCTTCCCTTTGCTGTATTTATTTATGTATTGTCTTAAGATTATCAGAGTTGAAAACGAAGACAGCTGCTAACCATTGTGGACCAAATGTCATGCTACCACTAAACAAAAGACCCACTCCGTCTATGTTAAATTGTATGTCTTTTTAAAGGTATTTGGAGATTCGTCTAAGCTTTAAAGGGGCCGAGCGGCTCGAGAACCTGAGATGTGGACAGAACTCTGGACCCGTCCTGTTGCATTAGCTGCTCCATAAGCCTCTGAAGAGCAATAGCTAATTTATTATTACTGTAATTTTTTAAAGGCTTTAAAGTGCCTCAGGGGTCCCCTGAAACGAATTTTCTACTTCTGGGATTCCCTGGATTCTTTATAAGATGGTGACATGACTAGGGAAATTCTTTTTTTAGTGTGAAAATTGTCCCTTTTCTTCAATACCTTTCTCCTACTGGCATTGAATTATCACAGAGACAGAAAATTGGTAAATTTTATAATTTCTAACTCTCCCAGGAAACTCCTCTTGCCTAGTATTTATTTGATGTGCTTTAACCACGGGAGGAGGGGAAAAAAAAAAAACAACAACAAAAAAAGCCAACCTCATTCAAGCTGCCAGTATTGATCTCCGGACTGTAGCAGTACACTGGGCTGTGCTGTCGCAGGGATGGCGAGATGCTCTGGGGTGTATTGGATACCTCCAGTTTCTTCATTTCTGGATTGAGTTTTCTTTTCTTGATGTTGGTCTTCATATCACCTCAAGGTTTAGACTTGTGAACGAACAAGTCTGATGAGGGTAATAGTCTTGAAATGAGACACTGTACAGAATTGGAAGGCGGAAAGAAAGACTTGTTCATTGTGATACTTTCTGTAGGCGGCCAGTTTGTTTCTCATAGGGAAATCCTGGATCACCCGTCGTCATCTTGGCTCCTAAGGAACTGCTGTTGTAAGCGGCTCATCAAGAGTTGAAGTTCATGTAGCCTTGTTGGGAATATGGAAAAGGAAGAAAGCCACAGGACTGCCCGTTCAGTCTGGGAAGATCTGGATGATTCTGCACATGCAAAAATGACTTGAAATTTATGTATAGACACTTGTACCAATCCATCTTCAGCTGACTGAATGTTGTAAGATAGCCCTTCTCCAAAGCAGGGGTGGAATGTTCTGCTTTCACCACACATTTTATAAACACATTTCCTTTTTTGAATTGACCTATAGATTGTAGGTCCCTTTTGTATATAACCTTTATTCTTTTGCTTTAAAAGAAAGTCTGTTCATATTTAATGCCCTGTATTAGTCAATGATTTTCGTTCAACATTATTTGAACCATTTGCCATTACCGAAAGAGAAATACTTATTTGTGTTTTAAATAAAACTGATATAGGAAATCTTTAGGTCTTATCATTATAACTTAAGTGATGCTGTTAATTTTTTAAAAGGAGGGCAGGTTTAAAAGTGATCTTAATATTCAGTGATTGAGAATTTTCAAACATGAAGATGGAAGAAAAGCTTTAATTAGAAGAGTGCAGGTTTTTCGATCTGTATACTGACTTCTTACTGTTACAAAAATACGTGTAAATTTTTAGTAACCAAAGACGATAAGTTTTTTCCTCCTAGTAGCCTAATAGTCCCAGGCTGAGGCTATAACTTAGTAGTGGACCATTGGCCTAGTGTACATGAGGCTTGGTCCAGCCTAATGCTGTCCCCCACATAGCCCCAAAAGGTCCCATCAGTTGAATGAACTCTTCATGTACATATCTTAATGGTCATAGAGCAAATGTTGCAGCTTGGCTCTGCCCCAAATTTTGGAGATAGCTTTACAGTTTATATTTTTTCAAGATTAGGCCAGATGTAGTGGCACATGCCTTTAATCCCAAGCAGAAACAGGAGGGTCTCTGAATTCCAGGCCAAAAAAGAAAAGACAACAAGATTAAAATCTGTGAAATTCTGACCTTAACAATAGCATCTCTTATGTGGCTCTGTGCATTCTCATCTCTGCCAGTCTCAGGAGCTCCCATAGAGAGAAGGCTAACACAAAGAGCTAACTACAGTTCACACACGAAGCTTGAGTTATGTGGGCCAGACTCCTGGGATCCGTTCTGAAACTATTGCTTCACTTCATCTGAATAATTCTGCAGTTATTTAAGTGTGATGCCCTTGAATTTGGCAGTTTAACAGAAGGACATTCGTGCTTACTAGATATAATAACAGTTCCTGAGGACCCATTTTGAAACAATCTACAGAAAGGTCACTGCTAGCTTCCAGGGTCAGTCTTCTCAAGCCCAACTGTGTGTGTAGACCAGCGTCTGCAGCTCAGGCTGACCTGCCTTTCTGGAGTCTCTTACCTCCACCACCCAAGTGCTTAGATGAAAGATGACCCACGCCTGGTTCATGTGGTGCTAGGGATGGACCCCAGAGTCTGGTGCTGAGCTACACCCCAAACCCTGCAGCTGGTTTTTAATTTGCAAAGTGATGTCAGGGGGCGGTGCTGCTGGAGAGATGGCTCAGCTGAGAAAGGCACTTGACTCATAATCCTGGCAACCAGAGTCCAACAAAGATGGACAGATGTTGTCCTCTGACTTCCTATGCTTGGGCCATGTCACATGCTCCTAGCCCCTACAACAAGTTTCTAATAATTAAAAGAGCCAGTGATTTATGACCACCAAGCCTGGTGACCTGAGTTCAACCCTTAACACTAGTAAAATGAGCAAAAAATCTGCCTTGATTCCCAAGCAGCAATCTAGGATTTTATGGTCTTTGGTTGTTTTGTTTTTTGGTGTTTTTTTATTTTTATTTTTTTTAATTAAAGGTTTCAGAAGTCTACTGAATAGTCCTATTATTAATCTGTGTTTGGTTAGATTTAATTCCTAAAATGGGAGTGAGTGTGGCAGTGAGCAAAAAGCGGTGAGTTAAAACTACTGCCTCCGTCCTGGGGTTCTTCTTTTTTAATCTTTACTTTGTTCCCAGCCAGCAGTAAAACTAGTCCATTGAACTTAGAGGTCTGCAGTCAAGGGAGCTGGAAAAGAGCTCTTAGAAAGGTGTTTTGCGTGAAGGATAAGGAACTAAACGGATTAGGGAAACATTTAAATCGAACAAGACTGTTTCAGTGGAGGGCAGTGAAACAGAGACCCTTACCTGATGGAGCAGTCACTTGTCGGCTCTGAGAGCTCCAAGGAAATGGGTCACCTTTAGAAAAGCCACCAGGAGGAAACGTTAGATGTGTCCCCCCACCTTGAAGGAGCACAGAGCAGTTTGAACTTACACTGTAATTAAACACTTTGGTCATCAAGGATAGATGAGTCTAAGTCAAATTCCTGCTCTTGAAGTGCTTAAGCAGCTTTGTGAGGATGTGTTCGAGAGTGTGTGTGTGTGAATGCCACTTGTGTGGGGATATCTGCAGAGGACAGCAGATCACCAGAGTCACTTGGGGCTGCAGTTACGGGCAGTTGGCTGGCCTGGAACTTGATTTGTAGACCAGGCTGCCTGTCTTGAATCCTGCTGGGCTAAGGTATGGACCACCGTGCCCAGCTTTACATAGACATGTTAGGTGGATAATACTCCAGACAAAATGAAGAATGAGCTCGAGTTTTAGTAGCTCTACTTGAGTAGTTTTAGTTTTTATTATTTTTACTTTTATTTGAGAAAGGATCTCATGTGGCCTTATACTTTCAATCCTTCTGCCTCTGCCTCTGAAATGTTGGGATTACAGATGGGCATCACCATGTCTGGTTTATGTAGTACTGGATTTGAACCCGGGGCTTTGAACATGTGGAGCAAGCACTTCCCAACACCTCACCTTAAACAGCACAAGAGTGATGATCGTATATATACTTGGTAATGCCTCAACCCTCACGCAGGGATCCTGTCTTTTGCCCTCTGCCTCTGTTTTGTTTTGTTTTTTCTTTTGAGACAGTCTCTCCACATAGCCCTGGCTGTCCTGGAATTCACTGTAGGCCAGAGTTCTGCCTTCCTCTGCCTCCTGAATACTAGGATTAAAGGTATGCACCACCACCACCCCCCGTTTTTTAAATGTGTGTATTTTGCCTACATGTATGTCTGTGCACCATTTGCGTGCCTGGTGCAGAAGAGGGTGCCAGATGCCCTGGAGCTGGAGTTACAAGTGGTGGTGAGCTACCATGTGGGTGCTGGGAACCAAACCTGGGCCTCTGCAAGTACAATGAGTCCTCTTAACCGGGAGCCATTTCTTCAGTCCCTGCCTTCGTTAATGTTTAAGTGGCCTCCTACCCAAGAGGCCATGACCATTGGACTGCTTCTTCCCAAACCTTCCTTTTTCTTCAAACAAGGTTGATGTCTTTCTACCAGGCATATACTCTTCATCTACTCTCTATTTTAGTTGTTTGCCAGCTGGGCATGGTGGCACATGCCATTAATCCCAGCACTTGGGAGGCAGAGGCAGGTGACCTCAGGGCCAGCCTGGTCTACATAGTTCAGGACAGCCAGGGCTATGTAGAGACCCTGTCTCAATGCCCTTCCCCCCAAAATTGTTCACCAATACTTCCCTCGCAGGTAGTGCTGGGGGGGGGCGTGGTGCAGGTCAGAGGTGGCATGCTTGTCTAGCATGCAGAAGACCCTGGAGAAGAGGGCATGTTTAAGACAGATCTCTACTTGTCTTTAAAGTCTCTGGCTAATCGGTCCATTAGTTCTCCCAGGCTGCCATATGTTACTACAAACTAAATAGCTCAACAGATATCTCAGTTGAGAGTAAAGGCCTGGCCAGTTAGATGTTGGTGGTATTTCTAGTGCAGCTCTTTCTGGCTGTGGGTAGCTAGCTGCTGGCCTTTCTTCTGTTCCCATGGAGAAATGGAGGCCTCTGGGCTGTCTTTGTTGTTTTGTTTTTGTTTGACTGGGCATGGGACCCAGGACCTCAAGTATGCAAGGCGAGTACTCGGCTGTGACCTACATCTCCAGCCCCTCCTCCTCCAAGGACACCAGAAAGCTGAGGTTCAGTCCCACACAGGAGATTTCCATACAATCTTAATGATCTCTTCAACAGCCCTATCTCAAAATAACAAATAGAAACAGAAACGAACCGCCTTATCTTCAAACACAGCTGAAGTACTAGGGGGTGGAGCTTCAACAGCTGAGTCCATAACAGAGAAACATAAATGTTTGTTGAGTGAGTCATTCTTGACCCATTTCAGGGCTTGCTGATCTTTTCTAGGCTGCCCTGTAACTCCCTAATAATAGCCTTGTTATGCTTTCAATTAGTCCCAGCTGCTCAAGTTGTGAGGCTTCCAGGTGAAGCGGACTTCACCTGAATGGAGAGAGGTCTTAAACATTTATGTGGGAAGTGGCTGGCGATGTGGTGAATGCCTGAGGTCCCAGCAATCAGAAAGCAGAGGCAGGAGGATTAGGAGTTCAAGGCCAGCTTTGGCTACAAAGGAATTTGAGCCAATCTGGAGTATGAGAGACACATGAGACAGCATGTCAATCAAATTAAACCAGGAGTATTTCTCTTTGAGTTAGTGTGCCTCAAGCATATTTTACAGACATCAGAGGGGCATGAAAATCTCAAGATTTACAAGGACATTATGATTAATTGCAATGTAAAAGAAACCAAGATTTTGCCCAATTTTCTATTATTGAATATATTCATTGAATTGTGACACATTCATATATCAGCAAATACAGTATATAAAATGACATTCTGAGGATTAGAGACCACCACCCCACATAAATCTTTTTTTAAATGACATTTGGCACTTTATTAAAATTTCGTTTGGGGCTGGAGAGATGGCTCAGAGGTTAAGAGCACTGGCTGTTCTTCCAGAGGTCCTGAGTTCAATTCCCAGCAACCACACGGTGGCTCACAACCATCTGTAATGAGATCTGGCGCCCTCTTCTGGTATGCAGGCAGAACACTGTATACCTAGTAAATAAATAAATAAATCTCTAAAAAAAAATTTCTTTTGGTGGTGTTTTTTTTTTTTTTTT